TGCTAGCCTGGGGCTGCTCAGACCTGGCTCAATGTGCTGTGGAGGGGCTGGCTGGGGCACGAGGATGCTACAGTGCAAGGCTAGCCATCAAGCAGCTCTGCACGTATGCACCCTCGTACCCCAGCCAGGTCCATCAGCATCTGCACGTGCATTGCTGTTCACTAAAGATCACCGCCACAGCATAGTATTTGTGTTTACAGGTAGTAACCTGTGGTGGAGTTAATTAGTTCCCTGCGGCCTAATAGGGCAGCACATGTAGACATTGAGAATTCACTGCAGAGCTAATTAGGCAACTGCAGTAAAGGTCTCGTATAGATGCACCCACTGTCTCGTTCAAGAAGCTGGAGCTGAAAGCAGTAGCTCTAGAGATGAAAGGGTAATAAATATGGCTGGTTGGAAAAAAATCAACCAACAGTTGTTTTCTCATTGCATTTTTGACTGAACATTTTTGATGAAAAAATGTCTGCCTTACACTGGAAATGTTGAGTTTTCATGAAAGCCCTTTTTTGGCCCCAAACTAGTTCTTTTCTTCTGAAGAGAAGTTCAAATATTTTACAAGACTCGCCCCCAGCAGAGGTTTATACTCAAGTAATCCTTGTGGATTCAGTTCTGACCCTTCTGATGACTGCCAAAGCAGTACAGATTATTAGAGGGAACTCTGTTTTTAGTGCTTATGCCTTTCCTCTAGCACTAGCTTAAAACTACTAACTACACTGAACATTGGTTTGAGACTACATTGAACACCAGATAATTGTCGCATGGTGGTAAATTGCAGGGATTAGTATCCTGGTTTAGATCCAAGCATTATCCTTGTTCTCAATCTTGTTCTTATTACCATTAGCCAATCTGTTTTGCTGGCCCTTCCTTGAACTCCTCTGCCATGTTTTATTTCTTCTTCTTCCCCATCACTTTGCTGCATATTGTCCACCTATATTGATATCGTTTGATTTATGTTGCAGAGGGGATTAATGTGGCCTTATGTTTTTTGTGTAAGCAACATAAAAAACTGACTTTTCTGCTCCACACTTTTTAATAAGCAAAACCCTTCATGCCCTTTAGAAAAATGGGACATTTTCTTTTTTAAAATGTATTTTAAAATTCCAGATTTCCTGGTACAATACATTGTTTTAGACCAGCAGCTAGAGGATTCAAGTGATTTGAATAATCTCTGTTTTTTCTTGCTAACAATGATCAGGTAATTTTATATTAAGTAATAATAAAGGAAAAGACCCACATTCAGTCTGCTTAATGATATCTTTCCCTGGCATAAACTGAAGCCCAGTGTTCCCTGGCATGGAAAGTAAACTGGACGAGGGGAGGATGAATCTGTGGAAAATAAGTTGGCAACTGTCTTCCACTAGCAAGCTCTAGGCATTCAACATGGCCTGAAGATTGTACTCAGTGGAAGGGGCTTTGCGTCCAGGGCCGCCCGGAAGTTAATTGTTTCAGTACATCCCTGACAAACTTTTTACCAGTGGACTGTCTGTGAAGCCCCAGCAGGACCAGAAGTGTCCCTTATCTAGCAGAAACCTTGAAGGAGGCACCTATCCTTATGCCATCTCTCCTTCCTTGAGGCTGAATTCCTCTCATGAGCATAAGGCCTTGCTGATGTAGGGAGGTTCGGGAAGTACCTCTTTGAATCAGCAGAAGGGAATTAAGCCTAACATGTGTGCACTCAGAATGCAAGAGATGTTAAACACTTCCTTGCAGTCATCATCTGTCTAAAATCTCTGGAAAGCTGTGGTACATGCTGCTTACTCTAAAGGGTTGTTTACGGATTCTCTTTGTATGTAGCTTTTAGAAGTCAAATGTCTCCCCTCATTTGAAGAGGATGGTTAATGCAATACTAAGCTTCCCTTTGTTTGAACCTTTGGCCATTGTGCTGTACTCTGCTGTTAGAATTCTGAACTTAACTGGGAAAGAAGAGACTGTAAACTCCATTTTCACATGTGGGCCTTGAAGTAGGACATACCAGTCCAACATTACAATTTACAACGTAGCATTTAGGACTCAACACGTCTATGTGCCAGTCTGGGTATCTAAATGAAGGAGTTGGATGTCCTGTTAAAATCCCCAGAACTGTAAACTGAGCCCAGTAAACAATGCCTGACCAGCCAGAACGCAAATGCTGGGAAGGAAAAAAATTATTGGGGTACAAGCCTTCAAAGTTTTAATAAAATGGAAGCTTTTGTGTTGAGAGTGGTTATTATAATCAAGAAATGCTTTGTCTTTTGCAAAAAAGAAGGGAGGGGGGGGTAGAAAATCTGAAAGGAGAGAATACAAATCCATTTTAAGAATTAGATAGTCCCTATTATTTGTTGCTTCCCTGCAACTCTGTAAGCATGTTCTAAGTATAAATACCACCTACTCACTAATAACATACTAGAGAGAAAACTATAGATGAAGCATGGGTGAGGCATCTAGAAACAGAGATATACTGTATTTAATTTCTTATCTAAATGAGAAGATTAACAGAAGCCAGCCATTTAAGTATTTTTGTAACAAAGATAATTTACTGGGTATTTTCTTTCAGATGTTTTATTGACACCTATTTTTCCTTTTCAACATAGAAAAAGCTGTATTTCATGCAATTATTTCTCCATGTAGTGTTGTTTCTCCTCTTTTGTTTCTTATTTTAGCATTTTTTTTCCCCACATGAATGTTAACTATTCAGAACCCCATGAGAATTTGAATTCTATATTAATAACTTTACAACTCATCATCTCTTTCCTCTGAAGAAGACTGAAGTGCTGCCACATATATTTTGTTTAGATTTACTGTAGATTAAAAGCTGATTAGATAGTATTACAAGGTATTAGAAAGCACAGCTTATATAATAAGGATTTTTTTTTAATTTGCGTTGAGCACTTACAGATTTTTACAGTTTTCCATGGAAAGGGAAATGTTAAACATTTTAGAAATCAAAATCAGATCATAATCATCTGACATGAAATAGCAGACTATCCATCCAGTCATGCTTCTGCAACTCAAGTGCTAAGTTTTGTAGTGTTCAAATCAAAGTGGAAAGGGCTCCCATTAGCCTCCTGAAAGAATTCAGTCACCAAATGTAAGGGAAATTTGGAGTAGTTGCATTTCATTGAGCAAGTTCCATGCCTCTCCATATGCTATTAATGGGTACCTAGACCCAGTATCCCTTTGTACATGAGGTTTAACAGTTCCTAGAGGAAATATTTCATGGAACTGTATTATGCTTTTTTGCTTGTGGGTGAAGGCTTGCATTGGTGGTTTGGAGGAGTCCTTTGGGTAACAATTGCCTATAAATGCCAGCAATTGGACTCAGTGGCCCACAAGCATCTGTCCAGTTCTGTGTTTCAGTATCATCCATTCTTCATTGGCTTCATCTTATCTTTTCAGAGCTAGCTTGCAGAAAACATCTTATGCAGCAGAGCTGAATACTATTTTCTGTGTACCCCTTTGCCAAAATTCCCCAGGGAAGACGTTTGAAATTTGCCAGACTTAGAAAAGTGGTGCCCAAATGCACTATCACCTGGAATATATTCAAAAGCCATAAAAATCAGGAACAATTCTTAATGACTTGTGTTCAAACCTCTTTGGGAATTTTGTTGCTATTGTGTCATTTAATGTAAAAATATTTTGCACAATGCTATCAGCTAAAGACATAGACCAGATAAATAACTGCAGTATTTTTCTAAATAAACCTTCAAGCCAGAAAAAATCTCTTCTGCTACCACGTTCTTTATTCTGTCCACTTTTTCTTGAGGATCGATAACATTTTACCTGCAAATATGTTGTGTGTCTCAGTTATAAAGGATTTTATATTCTGTCTGGGTGGGGGGAAGGTATTTTTGTATTGATTTTTTTTTCTTCTGTACTAAGGGAAGAAGTACACATATTCCTTAAATCCTGGAGCCCTGGATCCTCCTGTCACATATCACAAACTACCATAGCACACTAATACCCATCTGACATTTCAATGTCTATTGGGCTAACAGAAGGAAAAACTAGAAAACTGAAATATCTCTCTTCCACTCATAGGGTGCATCTACACGTTACCCTATGGCAATGTTATTACTGGACTGGTACTTTTGGAAGTACTAAAACACAGTGCAGTAACCATCCATACTGCACCATACACACAGCGCATAATTATTTTTAGTAGCTACTTGCCGTAGTGGTGTGCTATAACAGAAGAGCACACCAGTATGGTGAAGTAGCTGCTGGTCACATGTAGACACCCATGGATGCTATGTCACTGTAGTGTGTGACTATGGCAATGTAGTATCACATGTAGACATGCCCATAAGGCACTAGAGTTACTGGAACTTCACAGCAAACCAATATTAAACTGCATTAATTTAGAATTAGGGTTGTTATTATTGCTTATACTCCAGTGCCTAAAAGGCAAAGATATCAACAGTGAAATCATCCGACATGTGGGTTTTGATAGTTGGTGTGACTGTCATAAATTACGTTATAGAATGTAATTCTGTGGGAGTTTCACAGCTTTGTAACAATTAAGTTTAATCAGTTTTCCTGCCAATCAAGCTGGATTTCTGTCTCATTCACTCTAATGTCCCTTTCCGTGCATAGCCATACACCGTTTTGTTAGGGTGACATCTACTTCAGCATGCATGGTCCATGAAAAGCCTTCTCTGCACCACAGCAGTGAGGATGGAGAGAATATCCTCACATACTCTATAGTCAGCAGAATTTCCCTGGTCGTTGGCACAACAGATAGCCCAAAGTCATGAGGATAAGTCTATGGCTTTTCTGTAGTGAGCAACCTCCTCTAGAGGAAGATATGGCCAATTGGAGGGTAATCACCAAAGCAATGTCAAAAACAAAATGGTGTGGGTATACACATGTGTACTGGGTGAAAGGGGAGTTTCTTGCAATTGATGAGTAAGGCAGATGGGAGAAGAGAAGTGACAGAGGCAGAAGGTCCTTTGTTCTTCAGACCTCATTTGACTTGAAAGCATTAATAAGTCTTGGGTGGTGGTTTTGTTTCTCTGTTGCAGTCATCTTTAACCAACAGCGACATCATCTTTGTGAAGCTTCATGCCCCATGGGAAGTCCTAGGCAAATATGCAGAAGTAATGAATGTAAGAATGCCTTTCAGGTAGGTGTAAATAAATTTTGTGTTAACCTCCATATTCAAAATTTACTGTAAAGATAATGTAGAACTAAAATTAAATGGATGCAGAAAAGCTATTCTGTGAATTGTCTCACAACTTTAGAAAATATGAAAAGATCGACAGAGATACTATATTCATTGCTATTTCTTGTTAATGCCTGCAATTTCCATACAGTATCAATTTTAAAATAAGGCGAACTATAGCAGCGCTGCTGTTTTTCATGGGGTATTCTATTCTTAGGCCCTTTAACCCCTTCACTGCCGGAGCCCCCTGCATACTCGTGCGCTGCTGTTTTTTAAATGGACATTTCATTGAAATTGGGAGGTCGAGACGATCCAGGTACGTACGGCAGCACAGAAGGTGCATGTCTGTTGGACGTATCTGGTATGTTCAGCACCTGTAAATTGTCTGTTCTATAGTATAAATTAAGGGATAGACAGAATAAAAATAAGTATCCAATCTAAGAGAAGAATGGCATTCAGATAGTAAATATGCTTCTATCTTTGGAGAAAGAATAGAAATTGTATTGTATGCTGTTGGTGGCTAAATTAATTTAATCTGATCATACAGCTTTTTTATCTTTTTATCAAACATGATTTATATGACAGATCTCAATTTTGATGTTAAAGTCTTATTTTTCTCTGTTAAAATAACATTAAGGGCTTCACTTGAACTCTCCAAGCTTCTAAACTGAGAAGGCCTGATTTTCCTCACACTTAATGGGAATTACATCTCATCTAAATGGAGTTATTTCTGATTTATCCTGGTATAAACAAGAGAATCAGACTCAGAATATGCAAAGAATGAATGATCTGTGATGAAAGCTGTACCCAAAACTTTATGGATGTCCCTTTCTCATTTTGACATTAAAAAAATACCGTTTATATGCTATAGACCATTGTATTTTATTAGGAAATCAGTCTGTGGGCTTGTCTACATGTGGACCTTTTATGTAGTATTAGCCTAAAATCAGCATTTTTAAGTCGCACGAAGGCCGTGTGTCCACAAGTATGCCCCCTTAATGCACCTTAAAAATGGCAATTTGGGGTTAATCCCACCCAAATTTGATACCTGCTTAAAGCAAGTACCAAATTTAGGTGTGATTAGCTAGGTCACATTAGTCCCCATATAGACATTTAATGCGCATTAACATGGCTATACGTGGGCTAATGTGATTTAGCTATATGAGCCTAAATATAATGCACATTAAATCACGTCAATGCACATTAAGGCATCCAAAATTGCTTTAATGCACCTTAAAGAAAGGTGCATTAAGTTTAGGCACATGTAACTGCAGTTGACCCTTGCCATTCATGGGGGATACGTTCTTGTATCCCCTGCAAATGGTGAAATCTGCGAATAAGGCACTACGTTTATGAATGCAGTCTGCATTCATGAACACAGTGCCCCCGGCGGCTGGGGGTGGGCACAGCTCCAGCAGCAGTGGCAGGAGCCCAGCAGCAGCAAGCACGGAGCTCTCAAAGAGCTCCTGTAAGTGTATAAAGTGTATTTAAAATGTGGGTTTGGCATTTATAATTGAATATAAATTTATAAATATTTGAAACTGCGAATGCCGAACCCACGAATAGCGAGGGTTTCCTGTACATATGTAAACATGCCTTGTATGTACTAGAGTTTTTATTTTAAGACAAACTCTTTTTTCCCCTTGTATGTGCATGTTTAGTGTTAAAAAGGAGAAAAAATTGCCAGGATATTTAGTGTCTAATTTTTTTTTTCTAAAAGCATGAAAGAAATAAGTCAAGTTAATCTTTTGATGCCATTGGCGTTACCATGGGATGAAGTTGCCCCAACATATAATGGTAATAGCTCCTGCTTGTCAATCAGAGCATCATCTAGCAGGAAGTCAAATTTTAGTTTTTATAGAAAACTTGGACCTTCCTGATCCATACTGCTCAGATGTGTCAGTAGACAGCAATGTTAATATAATTCAGAATATATGAAAATCTATACAAATATTAAAATGATTTCTTGACATGCTGCGTATTTTCATCTCTATTCTTTGAACAGTCATTGCAAGATAGGAAGCCAGTAATGTATATAATATATTTATAAAATTACGAAAGAGAGGCATACTGAAATGTTCCAATAGAAAGTTTTTATACTAAATAACTTTAAAAGAATTTGTTTTCAGAAGTGTCCATTAATTTTAGTTACCTCTATTTCCAGAGTGCTTAATTGAACACACCAAGGAACTAGTTTCCAAGTTTAAGTACAGACATTCAAAAAGTCCAAGGCAAAATTGATCCAACTTACATGGGTTTCTCTAAGCTGTGTAGATTAGATCAAGAGTGAATGGAACACACATTTGCCCTTCAGTGGGAGGGAGGAACATGCAGATGCTTGCAGTGGCTGAGACTAGAAAGCAGGGGACACTCCCACATGCCTCTCAGTGTGCCAGATATTGCCGAGGGCATCTGAGTGCAAATGAGTGGGGCCCATCCTTGACTGACTATCATGCACATGCCCCCAACTCCCTGCTGCCACCATGGACTTTCCCGTGCACCCAGCCAACACTTCCAGGAGAACCCCAGAGGGGGTCACCATGAACCCCACCACCATCACTGCCAGCTGAGCTGTCAGGCATGCCATGGTGACTCACTCTGGGGCTCACCTGGAAGCCTAGGTTTGGGAGTGAGAGAGGGTCCATGGTAACAGCAAGGGGTTGGGGGGATGTGCATGGCAGCCAATCAGAGGTGGCCTGGCTCTGTAGAAGGAAGGGGCCTAATCCTTCTTCTGAGGGGCTCAGTCCTTCCTTCTAGGGAATACTTCTGTCCCCACTGCCCAGCACGAGCCTCCTGGACTGTCCAGAGCATCTTGCTGAAGCCCAGCACCAGCAGCAGCTGGCAAGATGTGCCAGGCAGTGAGGACAGGAGTGCTCCATAGAAGGAAGTATCAGCTTGGCACCAGCAGCAGCTGAGGGGCCTGGTTCTTCCTTCTATGGAGTACCTCTGCAAGCCTCCCGGGCTGCCCAGCACATCTTGGCAGCTGCTGCTGGTGCCAAGCTGCAACAAGACATGCCAGGAAACCTAGGAGGCCCTGCACCAAGCAGCAAGGACAGGAGCACTCTGCAGAAGGAAGGATTGGGTTCCTCAGTTGCCGCTGGTGCTGTTCTGAGGGGCCCGATCCTTCCTTTTATGGAGCACTCCTGTCCCTGCTGCTCAGTGCCAGCCTCCCTTCCTGCCCCGCCTTGCCTGCCTATATCTGTGCTGGCTTGAGTCCATGACAACCCAAAGTAGCTAAACACTCCACAACTGGTAGCACATCTCCCTATGAGGGGGGCAAGCAGGGTGGGAGGCACAAAAGCCCCTGGGATGCCAGCAGACAGCAACCTAACATGAATTAATAGGGGATCTGGTACAAAGTTTGATCTAACCTAAACTGATTAATTCTGATACTACATCCATCCAAGTCTATTTCAGGCCTGGGTTCTGCCATTTTTAAACCAGTCTATGTGCACTGAATTTCTGTCCTGTTACAGGTTTGGCCAGATTTTGGCCCCTTACACCACCGTATATGTAATGTATATACTTTGCCCAAACCTGTTGCCTTATTCACAGTTCCCAGTAATTTTGGTTAGAATTGCCAATACATTACACCATATCAGGAGAAAACACCTCTGCAGTTGGTACACTGAGGTTTGAAACTGGGCACCCAAAATGAGTAACTATTTCTGAAATTTGGGATAGAATCCAAAAGAGCATGAGTGGAATTTTCCAAAGCCCTGGGTTCAGTGGGGGTATGATGAACATTTGCCTTCAGTAGGAGCAGAGTTAGATTAAAACTGAATGGTTTTGAAAAGCTCATCCTTAGTCCACACTCTGAATGATAAAGATTTTGAAACTATATAACATTATTTAAATTCTGAATTCTGGAAAGTAACCCAGATCAGTAACCCTTTTTTGTATCTCTGTGGTTTAAAGCAGCAATACAACTTTTATTTTAGAAACTTGCCAAACAATTTCTTCTGGGTCACTCATGGGCATTGCTATGTTATTTTAGAATATTGATAAATATGCAGAATGAGTTGTGTGGTATGAACCCTTCCTTTTACAGAACTGGTATAAATCAGCATTAAATGATGGAACATTTCAGAATACATAGAAACCACCTTGATTTAATAATGACCTCCAGTGGATGACAAAAAAGTCAGACTTAAGGAGCAGGGGACTGGAGTTCAATAAGGCATCCAAATCTTGCAGTAAGATATATGGTTAACAAATTCACACCTGAAAAGACCCTAGAGGTTTGAATGGCTTTAAGATTCAATTTCTCTTCTGAAAGAACGGGCAAAATTCTTAGAGGTACTTTGCATAACTGAACAACAAGAGATGAGCAACTGGAAATTGGGGTGGAATCTGGCTCCACCCAAACCTGATAGGGAGATCACTCTGCAGGCCTTTTGGGACAGGAAGCATAAAGAAGCAATCTGCTACTAGGCCAAAAGAATCCAGTGCAATGCACTTGTCTGACTGCTTACTGGCCCCTCACACACATACCCAGTGCCACACAGCTTATTCTACTTTCAACTGAAATAAGCCATGCCTGTATGAGGGGTGGAGAGACTGGCTGCACATTGGGCCATGTGCCAAGCACATATTGATTGCCAAGCACGTATTGATTTTGCTTGTGCAATCTAAATATCCATCTGTTTAGGAGGATACTTCCCTCATATCCACCATTTGTCCCAATATGTACTGCATGTGAGGGTATATCTTAGTTATTTAGTTACTATTATACTGCATTTTTAAATGTTCCCCTGTTTAAATAGCATATCATTTTTGCAAGTCCAATTTTAATGATTAAACTATTGATGTGAAAAGCACATAGTTTAATTTATTCATATTTGCATTTACCCAGTAAAAAATTTACATCCATTTACTGAATTCTTTGACATGGATCTGTTTCTAAGTCCCTGACATCCACACATTTATAATCGCTGAAAGAAGAAGGAAGTCAAAAAATTAGCTTCATGCAATTCAACCAATGGCAAAATTTGTCTTGGGTTCCTTTGACAGTTCTGTTAATCTCTCTTTAGTCTCTTCCTCCACCTCTTACAGGCTTCTATCTTCAATCTCCTTTCCTTCCTTGCTAGTTCATACTGTAACTGACGATGGGTTTTCTTCTCGACTGGCTTCATTTTTGCTGTTCTTCCAGGAGAAAAATCTATTACCTGCATCGCAGATACAAGTTCATGAACAGGTGAGTAAAACACTTTAGCTGGCATATTTTATGTCAATATTGATCTATAGATAAATGAATGGTAAAGTTCATATTGGAAGGGCAGGTATGAACATACATGTGCTTTACTAGGCTTGTAAATCCATACCTTCAAAGTATATTTGAAAGAAATTATCAGTGTCCCATTGTAGTATAAGGAAACATCTTTCAAATTAGTGGGATCTTTTAAAGCAGAAGAAACTTTTTATTTTTTGGGGGGTGGGGGGTTAAAATATTACTGTAATCTGTTATAAATTATTCTCCTTTACAGTGCACCCTTCCTGACTTATGGTGGTGTTGAAATTAGTTATTTCCTATACTGTAGCTGTGCATAGTGCTTTACAGGTAAATAAAAAGGCCACGAAGCAAATTTATCTGTGATATAACATCACAGAAATCAATAGATAAAGGATTGTTTCCCTAAAGTTTTAACCTTGAAGCACTTCTGTTCAGTTACAAAATATCTTTAAGATGTATTTGCATTTTTGTCTTTTTTACCTCATTTATAAAACAGTCAAAGGCTCTCAGTATCCAGAACTTTCACTCTTTTGATTTGATTAAACATTTCTTTGGTCCAAAGTGTCTCCAAAAATCTTGGAATAATGTAAAACCTGGCAAAGGGCAATCCACTTAATGGTTTTCCATGCTAAGATGCTGTTCATGGGGTTTTCAAGTACACTCAGCAATTTATTTACTTTCTTGCATTGAAGTCAATGATAAACTTCCATTAATTTTAATGGATGCTGAGTTAGGCCAGCGTAGAATGTTTTTGAAAACTCATATGCTAGAACAATAGGTGCTTTCCACTGCAGTTTCTGTTGATATCCACAGGTAAAACTAATTTGCCAAAGTGATCTGGACTTGTTAAGATCAGTATTCAATCTTTGTACTTTGTATTAAATACCCCACTGTATCCTTCTGGTAATATGAGAGTATCAACATTACTCCAATATGATAGCATACATATGATTTTTTGGTATGTAGCATTTGATCTCTCTGATGAAAAGAGAAATTTTGTTCATGGGCATACGCTATAAATTGAGCTCTCCTAAAGCTGGTTACTGTTCCTCTCCTCAGCGTACCCCAGAGTAAGTGCTTTGGGGCTTACTAACTTTGAAATCTTATAGTCAGCAATTTTTTTAAACCAATGCACAGCCTGAAAGAATAAGTGGAAAAATATCAGACAGGAAGGTATACAGCCACAAAGTGCCTTAAAAGTCTCCGTATCCTACCTAAGCTGCAGGAAGTAGGCAGTTACTGTGCATCTGAAACCACATTTTTTTTAGATATACGAAGTTGCTTTTTTCTTGATCACTTGTACTAAGAGGACCTAAGCAGGTGCTAATTTTTTTAATTAAATGTGTCTCACCAAATTGGAAACTACAGGCTACTCACATTTCATGGTTTATGATTTCATAGTATGTGTAAACTGCACATCATAAACTGGAGGCATGGTCAATGAGCACCTGTTCCTAGTAAAGAATCATATAAGTTATAGATGGACAAAGCCCTAGTTGTCATGACCATTTCCTTGTCGATATCAAATAAACTAGGAGGATGCTTGCTCTGGCCAACCTAACATGACTTGAGCTTGTCTCAGCTGGAATATGTTGCTTATATATTTTAATTCCTCAGTGACTGATTGGTTTAAAAACAGTTAATACAAATAATTTTAAGTTTTCAATACTTAACTGTCCCTGAATCTTTCCAAATTCCTGATAGCCTGTTTACTGCATTTTTTTAGCAGCAGGAAAGAGAAGAGTGCAACAGTTATACAGTGGTGTATTCTTTAAAATTTCCCATACTGTACCTCTTGGCTTCTACAGAGACCTGCCAGGTTTATACATTTGTCTAATGAGCCATGAATTAGCCTCAATCTATGTGCATGTCTACACATGCACATCTACTGCGCAGTTACTGAAATTACTGTTCAGTATGGGAGGGTGTCTACATGTGCATGCCTTTTCTGCGCAGGAAATATGGCAACTTATGCTGACTTGAGTGTAAATTTGATACCTGCATTATGCAAGTATCAAATTTATGCCCAATTAGTTACTGTGCATGTGTAGACGCCTTACTGCTCAGTAACACTGTATGTGTGGAATGATTTGGGACTAACCTTAGTCCCAAGTCAGTCCACATACAGCATTAATGCACTTTAGTGCCTGAATGTGTAGACACTGGCCTATTCCCTCTTACTGCACAGTAACTTACTGCATAGCAAATTTAAGCCAGCGTAAATACACGTGTAGACACACCTAGAGCCAGTGAAACACAATGGGTGCATCCAGATGAGCGTGGATATGCGGTATGTGGCACCGCAGACCTGTCTGCGGCACCACACACCACACATGCAGGTGTTCCCTGTGCTGTTACTTTGCAGCATGGTTTGTGGGGAGTTTGACACCAGGAGATCCCAGGGTAAAAAAAGTGGGGCAGTGCACATGGCAGCAGCATGCACAACCCAAAACTGGAGCCTAGCCAGCCAGAGCCACAGTCCAGCTGCTGGCTAGGCTTCCAGCCATGCCTGCAGTCCCAGAAGCCACCCAGGACCCCAGCTGCTGGCCCCAGCCTCCCCTAACCCACTTGGGATAACCTGCTTCACATGAGAGCACACGTGGCATGGGCATTCCCCAGGAACAAATAACAATGGCACAAGGTGTCCCCAGGGAAACAAATGTCTGTGCTAATCTGGACACACCTAATATGTTTTAATTCTGTCTATCTGTGTATTAGTGCCAATACTCTGCCTCTTCCTGCTTTTTTGAGAGAGACACCAGCACAGTTTAAAATCTGCATCAGTGCCTATGACCATGTTAAAGTAGCCTGGAGGCATCTTCTGAGGGTCTAATCATTTTTATTTTTCAAAGGATGGAAATAGTTTGCTTTGGAGAGTTGGCTTCAAAATGAAACATGTTCTACACTTCTTGTAGTGTAGCATATGCAACAGCAGGGAACGAACAAGTCCACAGGGCCCACTAAGGAATATGAATGTTGTAATGACAAAAGCCAGTCAATTTTCAAATAAGCTCATGGTGAAGTCAACATGTTCTTAAGATGAAAAAGTGCTCTGTGCAAGCTGTGATAAACCAGCAGCATACATACCTCAAATATGCATGTTAGGTCTCAGGATGAATGGGAAGAGGACTACAGATTCTTGAGTGTATTAACAGTTTATAGAATTCAGATTATTTTACTAAATATATAAGCCTGTCACTGAATGTGTTGAAACAGTTCTTTATCAAACCCTCCCCAATTTCACTAACAAAAAACAAAGTGTAATACTGAAAGGCTTAATTGCCCCTTTCAATAGAAGAGAGTCAGTGAAAGGGGAGAATACCTCAGAGCAAAGCTTTGATCCTTCATATAGCATTGAGGTGCCCTTCTGCACAGTACAGGCCTGGAGCTGAAGGCCTTCTCTTAGAGGCACTGCACCTTCACAGCAGGTGTGCACTCTTCCAACTCTGACCTTATTCTCTGGCATTATGGCTTCCATGGTCTTCACTGAAGAGGAGAGGGACATAGAAGATTAATACATTCCCTAAGAAATTTTTGTTTAACAGCTGGAAACTTCTCTTATTGCTGTGTGGGGGCAGCAAATAAAAAACTGGTCACCCAAAATAGAAGAGAGAATGGTTTATAACAAATTTCTAGCTTGTTCCTCTTTGACCTGCTCTTTCCACTCTAGGAGGCCACCCACCATTAATTTAGAATAACAATAAAAAAATGACGGCTTACTAGTCCACTAAAATAGCCCTTTTTTTCTGTGTGTGAATTTTCTGAATTAGTCCCAGTTTCCGATATGGGTTTGTTTATTCAGAATCAGTGAGCACATCTACATGAGGCACTACTGCGCAATCGTTACTGTGCATTTATTTAGTACTTTAGAGTTGTGCAACCATCACATGATGATGATAGAGCTAGGCTATTTTCAGTGGTGGCAGATGACAGAACAAAGAGCAATGGTCTCAAGTTACAGCAAGGGAAGTTTAGGTTGGATATTAGGAAAAACTTTCTCACTAGGAAGGTAGTAAAACACTGGAACAGGTTACCCAGAGAGGTGTGGAACCTCCATCCTTGGAGGTTTTTAAGACCTGGCTAGATAAAGCCTTGGCTGGGATGATCTACTTGGGGTTGGTCCTGATTTGAGCAGGAGGTTGGACTAAATAACCCTCATTTTTCAACCCTAATTTTCTATGATTCTATGATCTGTGATTCTATGATTTTTTTTCCTATTTTCTGATTGGCTGAGTGCAAGTGTTAGAATTGTGAGGCTGCTCAGAATTAAGGATTTAAAATGTATTTTCTGTTAATACTTTGCTATGTTGACACAAATTGTCCTACTTTAACAAGTAGCCCCAACTGCAAACTTATCTGTTAGAATACTTGTGCCAAGGGCTTACACAAATAGCACAAAAACTGTCAGAATTAATTTGTTTAAAAATTGAAAAACAAACTGTAAATTATGGTTTCCAGTGTTTCTCTATCAGATACAAAAGAGACTCTACATTTCAGAATCACAGAGAACAGGTAGAACTTTCCAAGACAATTTTATTACTGCATGTGCCATTTTAAACTAGCACATGCAGTAATACAGAATCAGTTTCCTACATCCTCAAATGCTTTGGTAGGGTTATCTCAAACCCTACTGAGTTACGGTGACATCAGAGACATCACAATAAGGTTTATTTGGATTATGAAGCTGTTTGGCTGATTTTGGTGAAAGGAGGAGAGAGAGGTATATTTCCAAACTTTATTTAATCAAAAGACTGCCATTGACTTCAGAGGCTGTTGCTTGACTGGCACCGGAGGGCCTGATTCAAAGTACTTACCTAGGCCATTTGTACATGCCACGGGGGGGGTACTTCAATTTAATTCTCCCTAAATTGAAGCAGTGGGTTTTTAAAAACAATGCTTCAATTGTTTGGGGCAAAGTAAACCCTCATGGCATGTACACAAGGGTCGGGCTTGATCCTTACCTGCATCTCAGGCAAGGGGAGGAGAGGGTGAGCTTCCTTCACTCCACAGCAGCACTGGTACCCACCTGCAGGCACCCAGCTCAGGCAGTCCTGGGAGACACCACAAACACTGAGGGAAGCACCAGGCCGCTTTTTTTTTTTCTTTTCCTTCAGCAGAGCCTGCCTGTATGGACTGCCTTCACAGACCCTGAGCTGCACAGAGCCCAGTGTGTCCCTCCACTGCTGTAAGGTAGCAAACTAAAACACCTTGGACGTGTTTTATTTTGCTGCGTCCCAAAGTCATTTAATGCACATTACGCCGCTGACATGTGCAAACAGCTGCAACATTAAAGCAGTGCAGAAGGGCATTAAGTCACTTGAAAGGCCAATTTTGTGGTGTGTACAAATGGCCATAGTGTTTAACTGTAGGCACGTGAATAGTTCCATGATGGGTGAGTCTTTATAGAAACCCAGGCCTTACACAGGGCGAAAATTCTGGTTAGGGTGGTAAAATCCAAGGTGCTTTTGAGAGAAGAATATAGTTTGTGAGAAAAATTCTGTGTTTTTACTCCACGTTTTCTGTGTAATATTTAGTTCAGATTTGCTTTTGATTTTAAGATGTCACTCTCAATCATCTGCAATCTTGGTATGTGCATCTGTGGTTTGCTTTTTTTGAGCATGCATGAGCTTTTTTTCTATGAGCATGCTGCAAATATGCCCCTCCCTCTTGTTTAGCATCAGTTTGTTTTCAGGTGTTGAAGTGGGACTGTTAAATGTGAGACCTGGCATTGTTTTCTTCTCCCAAGCCATATGCTTTCAGTAATGTAATTTCATAAAGTATGTACTACCTTAAGACATTGCAGTTGAAGCATATTAACGAAATAAACAGTTTGTTTTCATGGAAATATTTTTCATGTATGAGTTGATGCAAAACTGCAGTGAGATGATTTATTTTTCTGGGATTGTGCTGCCAAAGCTTTCTGTAATGGTTTCTTCAGTCCTAATGTTTACATGCCCTTAGTAAGCACACTGTAGTTTGTCAATTAATTTCCCAATTTAAATTAAATTAGCCAAAAAAAGCTCAGAAAGTGAAAGTTTGAGGGCTGCCAGAAGCTTATTGGGTTTTACTAAGATTTGCAGCATCTGTGTTGCTGTTCTGTTAGGAAGAGAATAAGATGTTGCTACTCTACTGAATGCTAGTTATTAATAATCTGCATTCAGTGCATGTAACTCAGTCTGAATTCTGAAATGCCTTACACACTTTGCTTCTTTCATAACTGTAAATATTACACATCCTTATATTTTGTGTTTTTGAGTGCTCTGTAAGGGTTAAATGTAGTAGATAATGGATACCCTATTTCCTTGCTATCTCACTGGATATCCCCTTTCATGTACCGCAGGATCGAGAAACAAATAAGCAGGTTTCGAGGATGGTTACCTAGAAAGCCTATGAAACTGGACAAGGAGACACTGCCAGACCTGGAGGAGAATGACTGCTACACTGCCCCTTTCAGCCAACAAAGGATCCACCAGTGAGTATTCTGTTAAATCTTAAATTTAAAGTAAAATATCTCTTTCCAAAAGAATTTTATAGAAATCTAGTTTTCAGTGCAGATATTAAGGATTATTGGTATTTTTGTTGGTAATATTTCCCTATCCAGTGAAGGTTAATACAGGTATTTTGTACATGTATTGATAAAGCTAAAATATAGCTAATGGTAAAGTATTTGGGAAACTGACCATGTAAAAATAGCCCCTTCTCAATAGGTGGTCATAAATTTACCTAAATTAAATTAGTACAGCTTTTTTCTCCTAGTAATCAATGCAGAGCAAATGCAGTTCTAGATGAGAGCACTGCTTTTTCCACTTCTTATGTAGCATCAACGAATAGTTTACTAAACTCTAGTTTCAAGGCCAATCAGTTAAACTTATGCCAGTGTAGTGATGACAGTGGTGCTTGTAACAGGCAGGAGCCCTGTTACTGAGATAGTTTCAGGCTTGGATGACCTAAGAATGCACCCTACCAGGTGAAGGGAGTTACACACCAGGGTAAGGACAGAGTGATGAACCCGCCACAGCTGGTATAAATCCAGCGGTGAGGCAAACGCACTTTGCCTTTGGGCACTGGAGGACGGACAAGGGACTACCAGGACCTCAGAAGAGGGAAAGCAAAAAGCCTAACCTGTGATCCAGAAGGATGCCAGGACTGCAGGACTCCGGAGGACACAGCAGGTCAGCTACAAGGCAAACTACTTTCCCAGCTGCTCCGGTGAGTGCGGGGAAGGACCATGGGGCTCCAGGAAGTGGCTCTGCAGGGATCCCAGAGAGAGAGAGAGCGAGAGTGTCCCCAGGATGGTGCATGGGCAGCAGGAGCTAGACTAAGCCATTGGCCCTATCGGGACAGCCACGATGCTGAAAGGGTGATCCAGACAGTGAGGGAGCAGCAGGGTTCCCTTATCAGTCGTGCGGGCTTCCCTCGCTAATGAAGTAATTAGCGAGGCTGTTGTTACCCTGCAACCTCCTGCTGTGAAATAAAGGCTACATTGTGAGAACTTACTACCTGGGTGGCATATAGTGATTCCTTGCTCTGAAATTACTACTGAATCCCACTCCTTTTCCTTTCTATCCAAGTCGTGGCAGGCGAGTCCAGAGGGAGATGGAGCTAGGAGTGACCCCCCCTCTCACAGTGCTGAACAGGTATTGCCAAAGGCGTAGGTTAGCCTGTAGAAGCTTTATTGCTAGTGACAGTGCATAAGAGGAAAAAACCCAGCTTGACAGGGCTCAGCAATGAGAGAAAGCATCTTTCTCCCTGTAAACATAGCTCATTTTAATGTGGAAATGGCTCTGTAACTAGCAGTTTGGAAACTCTCAGTATCATAATGTCACTTTTCAAAATAGAACTGCAATTTCAGTAACAGTTGCCAAAGCAAATTATGGAGGAGAGGAGAGTTCTTTATGGAGAGTTTCAGTGCTTGCAATATGAGAAGTGATAATCAGATACTGAAATAAAAAGAAGCACACTGAATAGGCAGCACAGACCAGGATGCTAACAAAAAAGAACTCTGTACTACAGAAGAAGTTAAGATCAGCCTGTGAACTAAGTCAGTCAAGACTATCCCTGTATCAGAGAGAAGATATATTTTGGTAAACATGTAATTGTGAATGAACTATTCAATAAGTAAATGATTTATTTACTGCAACTGATATCAGTGTATAAAATAAATTCTACCATATTAGGTGCTTTTTCATTATTTAAAATATCTGTAAATCAGGAAACAAAAACAGCAGCCAAGCTCCATAATTTCTAGCAAAACTCCCCTCCTGATACAAGTTAACAAACATGTCTCTTTCCACCAAATTTCTACTCCATAAGCCAATCTCTTTAGATACTTAGGCACAAACAAGAATTGAAAGAGAAATAATATGTATGAAATGCTTCTGTAGGCTTGAAATCAGCAAAAATGAAAAGGAGAGAACAAGAGCCTCCAGATCAATGTTACTAGTAACTTTGCTAGAAATCAGGGTTCACAAGAAAGTTTTGTAGGAAGCTTGAGAGAGAACACTTTGAACATAGGCAAGAAGATTATTTTTGCCCTGACTTTATCCTTGTTAGTTTTTGAGTTGTTAATATAAAGCTTTTTATTAAGTACTGTTTTAGGTTCATTAATGTGCTTATTGTTGTTTGACACCTCCTTTATATCACTTCATACTTTGAAGCTCTGTTTCCCAGCAGAGCTGACATTTTTCTCCTCTGCTTTTTTTTGTTTTCCTTTCATTTTGTTACAGATAAAATACTAGCAGAGCCTTTTTCTTCCCCCTGCACAGTGTTGTCTTATATGATTCTTGCAGTCCCTTCATGACCTTGTGGGCTTTGCCATTCTGTTGGGTTTTCCTTCTCTTTTTTTTCAGTTGGCTGACTTGTTGGTTAACATTCTTTTAATGAAAAGGGCATTATAGGGGCCTTTTAAATTATTTTCTTTTTTGGTTGTAGAAAGCAAGCATTGACTAATTAGAAATGTAAAGTTGAAAAGGATGTATTTGGTAGCCGTGTTGGTCTGAGACAAAAGAAATGCAAACATCTAGAACTCTTGATTCAGAAATGATACCTTTTATTGGACCAACTAGGAAGTTGCAAAAAAAAACCCCATCTTTTTCTGCAAGCTTTCAGCCTTGAACACCCTTCATCAGGCTCTGGGAAAACTAAAGATGGTAAAAAGTCCCCATAGGTAGGAAATAAACTTTATTTTTGCACAGAGGGAGCTGGGGATGGAACATCTGTCCCTCTGGGTCCATGAGAGTGTCTCTGTGAGTTCAAGATTTTTGCATTTCTTTGTGTCTCAGACCAACATGACTACCACATACATCCCTGAAACATTCAAGATGCCAAATTTTAGCCAATTTGGGATTTTAAACTTCATTGCAGAACAAAAAGAAAGATGTTTAAACCTCCCTGCTTGCCATCTGACACTCCAGGGAAGGAATCCTACCTGATCTATACAACAAAGAGAGACTCAGAACAACTCACAGAGACACGCTTATGGATCCAGAGGGACAGATTTTCCAGCTCCAGCTCCCTCTGTGCAAAAATCAAGTTTATTTCCTACCTATGGGGACTTTTTACCATCTTTAATTTTCCCAGAGTCTGATGAAGGGTATTTAAGCCTGAAAGCTTGCAGAAAAAGATCATTCTTTTGCAATTTCTTAGTTGGTCTAATGAAAGGTATCATTCCTGAACCAAGATCCATAGATTTTTTGGGGTCAGAAGGGACTTCAGTAGATCATCGAGTCTGACCCCCTGCCCTGGGCAGTAAAGAGTGATGGGGTCAAATGACCCCAGCCAGGTGTTTGTCCAGTCTTCTCTTAAAGACCTCCAAGGTAGGGGAGAGCACCACCTCCCTTGGAAGTCCATTCCAGATTCTGGTAACCCTTACCATGATGAAGTTCTTCCTGATGTCTAGTCTAAATCTGCTCTGTCAGTTTTTGGCCATTGTTTCTAGTTACTCCAGGGGGTGCCCTGGTAAACAGAGCATCCCTTGCTACCCCCCTCCCACCCGACGAATTTGTAGACGACCACTAGATCACCTCTCAGCCTTCTCTTACGGAGGCTGAAGGAGATCCAGGTCCCTCAATCTCTCCTCGAAGAAGCATATGAGTAGCCCTCCTCTGGACCGTCTCAAGGTTATTCACATCCCTCTTGAAGTGCAGCACCTAAAACTGGACTCAGTATTCCAGCTGCAGCCTTACCAATGCCACATAGAGGGGAAGTATCACCTCCTTAGACCTGTCCATGATGCATCTGTATGATAGAGTGTGATTGATCACTTCATCACATTGTTGACTCATGTACATCTTCAAGTCAACTATGACTCTGAGATCCCTTTCCACTGCTGTGCTGCTTAGAAGATCATCTCCCAATTTGTAAGTTTGTTGGTGATTCCTTCTCCCTAGGTGCAGTACCTTACACATGTCTTTGTTAAACTGCATCCTATTTTGTTCTGCCCACTTCTCCAGCCTGTCCAAATCCTCCTGAACCCATTCCCTGCCCTCCAATGTGCGTACTTTGCCCCATAATTTGGTGTCATCCATGAATTTGGGCAGAGTGCTCTCCACGCCCTTGTCCAAGTCACTGATGAAGATACTGAACACTGGTCAAAGGACCAAGCCTTGGGAGACCTCACTGCCCACATCTTTCCAGGTTGGTACTACCACTACCACTCTCTGGGTGCATCCCATTACCCAATTCACCACCCACCTGACCATGAAATCACTTAAGTCACAGCCACTTTGTTTTTTTAATGAGAATGGGATGTGAAGCCATATCAAAAGCTTTTTTAAAATCCAAGTATATGACATCCACCTCAACTCCTGTGTCCAAGCAGTTTGTGACCTGGTCATAAAAAAAAAACAAGGTTTGTCAGGTAGGATCTACCTGCTATGAATCTGTGCTGGTTGCCCTTCAGCATTATTTTTCCTGCTGGACTCCCACAAATATAATCCTTAATAATTTTTTCAAAGCTTTTCCCAAGGATAGAGGTGACACTAACTGGTCTATAGTCACCTGGATCCTCCTTCCTCCCCTTTTTGAAAATAGGGACCACATTGGCTCTTTTCCAGTCCTCTGGGACTTGTCCTGAGCTCCATGAGTGCTCAAACAGTCCTGCCAGTGGCTCTGCTATGACACTGGCCAATTCCTTCAGCACCCTTGGATGAAGATCATCTGGGCCTGCTGATTTGAATATGTCGAGCCCCTCCAAGTGTCCCTTCACTAGGCCAGCGCTAATCTTTGGTGGGCTGGTTTCCCTCCTATGCTTGTCTATAGTCCAATTTAGAGATATGTCATTATCTGTATTCAGGAATACTGATGCAAAAAACTCATTGAAGATCTCAGCTTTGTCCCTCCTATCCATCACTAGTTGCCATAGCCTGTCCTGTAGGGGTCCTATGTTACCATGCACCTTCTTTTTGTTTCCTGTTTACCTGAAAAATGACTTTTTGTTGTCTCTAATTTTAGTTGCCAGCCTGAGTTCCATTGCTGCCTTGGCCTTTCTGACTCCCTGCAAATGTGAGCCAAGTAGGTATAATCCTCCTTGGTGGCTACCCGCTGTTTCCACAGTCTGTATACCTCTTTTTTCATCCTTAGGCTTTCCTGGATTTTCCTGTTTAACCAAGAGGGTTTTTTGGCTCCTTTGCCCTGCTTTATGTGCAATGGGATTGTCCCCTTCTGTGCCCGAAGGATCGTTCCTTTGAGGAACAACCGCCCTTCCTGGACTCCCATCTCACCAAGGCTCTTATCCTTCAGTGCCTCACTTACTAACCTCCTGAGCTCATTGAAGTTAGCTTTTCTGAAGTCTAGCACTTCTGGCCTACTAGTTTTCTTCCCCCCTTTTGTCAGATAGTGAATTCTAACAATTGGTGGTCACTATCTCCCAGATTATCCTGTATCTACAGATCTCCCACCAGGTCATCCCCTGTAGCAAACACCAAATCCAGTAAGGCATTTCCCGTAGTGGGACCATATACTTCCTATGTTAGGTGAAGGTCCTGTATGCAGGTTAACAACCTACCTACGTGAACAGTCGGACCTAGCTGACTACTCCTCGCAGCAGATGTCAGGGTAGTTAAGGTCACCTATGACAACCATGTCCCTTGAGCGTACTGCCTCTGAGAGCTGCCTTGAGAATTCCAGATCTAGCTCATCCCCCTAGAGTGGCTGTCTGTAATAAACTCCCATTACCAAGTCCCTTTCACCCTAACCCCCTTGTATTCTGACCCACAGTACCTCAATATGCCCCTCTTCTGATCCCATCTTGGTTACTGAAGACACATGTTGCTCCTTAACATAGAAAGCGACCCCCTCCCCCCCTTTTTCCCACTCTATCACGTCTATACAGCCTATAGCCCTCAATGCCTACTGC